GGGTGCAGTTATTAAGTGACTGCTGGTGTGGCGCTGTGGGTTAATGCGACAGACTGCAAAGTCGTTTGACCTGCAAGGTCGACGGTTCAAGCTCACCAGCTGCTCCTTGGAAACCCTATACAGGGTCACTATGGGTGGGAATCGACTCGATGGCACTTAACAACAACAACCACCAAAAGTTGGTGGTTCAATATATGGCAGTCTGCTTCCATAGAGGTTACAGCCTTGGGAATCCTATGGGGCAGTTCAACTCTGTCCTGTAAAGTTGTCATGCATCAGAACCGACTCGGTGATGATGAGTAAAGGAGGGTTGGTGGTGCAATGTTTAAACACTCAGCTGCTGACCAGAGTCAGTGGTTTGACCTTGCCAGTGCAGCTCCAGGGGAGAACAGACCGGTCAGTCTGTTCCCATCAAGACCTCAGCCTGGGGAACCCTATGGTACAGTTCTACTCTGCCACATGGGGTTGCTATGAGTTGGAACAACTCAATAGTATACAACAACAATACCACATTGGTGTACAATTATGTACATATATATGAGGGGACTTTAAAAAGTTCGTGGAAAGACTCCATTAGCTTTTCATTCTAGTTTTCCATCTTTTAATTTAATTTTTCAATTCTGTTTCCCCACCACAAACTTCCTGGTGTGGCATTGTAGGATAAGCACTGGACTGTTAACTGCAAGGTCAGTGGTTCAAACCCATTTAGCCACTCCTTGGAAACCCCATATAGGGGCTGCTATGAGTCAGAACCAACTCAGTGGCACTTAACAACAACAACAATATTTTAATTTCATTTTTTTCCACAAACTTTTTGAAGTCCCCTTGCATATGTATGTGTGTATATATATACACATATATATGTATATATATGAACTGACTCCACAGCACATAACCAACCAACCATACATACATATAAAAGAACATATATTTATGTGTGTGTGTATATATATATGGTGGTGTTGTTGTCAAGTGCTGTCAAGTCGATTCTGACCCATAGTGACCCTGTATAGGGTTTCCAAGGAGCATCTGGTGAGCTTGAACCACTGACCTTGTAGTTCAAACAACTTTGCAGTCTGACGCATTAGCCCACATACACATGAATATACATATATATACATATGTACATCAGAATTCTGAGGCAAAACAAAACACAACCCATGGACATTTAATATCCAAGGATAACTATCCAGGGAACTTTAAAATAATACTTCTATTAAGAATAACATATATAATTGGCCTTGCCTACAAAATGACTCTGAACAATTATGAAAAAAATATTCAGTGGGCCTTTCCTGAGACACTTTCCTTTTCATGTCTGTTAGCTATGTAAATAGGTTCAACAAGAATCTGTCCTCCTTCCTAACAGAATAGATAATTGGGCAAATCAAATTTGTAACCATGACCATGCCACAAATGTCACATTGAAAGACAACTCTCACTTAATTTAGCATGACAAGCCTGATGGTGAGAAACAAGGGCTGTACTTCACATACGGAAGCCAGGCCTCCTGCTCCTCCAGAAACTGGCCTGGATCTGCTCAAGGCAAAGTTCAATCTTACTCTGGAAGCACCGCTCAAGTCTGGTCAGTATCATGGCAACACATAAGACAGACAGGTGGTGGCTTTGCATGTGACGCATTAGCCAGGAACTGAACCCTAGTCTCCTGCACAGTTTCCAAACAGAGAAACCCTGGAGCCTTTACTGTAAGCTACAAATCAACACAGCAGAAAAATCAACTCTAGTCCTGAGTTTTACATTGCTGACATTGCCAAACACGTGTCAAAACTTACTGATACGATAATCAGGTGTGAAAATGGTTATTTTCCCCAGCTGAACACAGGCACTGTAATCTCGGTAACCTTTGGTTCGATTCTTTAAATACCTCTGGTATTTGTATTTGGTGAGCCAGTCTTTCAGAAGACTTAGCAAGCTGATTACGATTCTTTTCTTAAAGCATCTATATCTCTGAATTGCTCATTCAACACTAGATTGTAAATTACCTAAAGGATGTTTGTTTTGTTCACTGCTCTATCTTATATGTTTAAAATTGGAAATACATACTGATGAAGATCAAAGACAACAGCCTACAATATAGGCTGCACCTCAATGTGAAGGAAATGAAAATCCTCACCACTGGACCAATAAATAACGTGATAAATGGAGAAAAGATTGAAGTTGTCAAAGACTTCATTTTGCTTGGTTCTATAAGCAGTGCTCATGGAAGTAACAGTCAAGACATACTGCATTGGGGAAATCTGCACAAGAACTCTTTAAAGTGTTCAAGAGCAAAGATGCCACTTTGGAGACTAAGGGCACCTGGTCCAAATCATGATATTTTCAATTGCTTTAGATGCATGTGAAAGTTGGACAATGGCTAAGAAAGACTAGGAAAAATCAAGGCATTGGAATTGTGGTGTTGGAGGAAAATACTGAAAGTACTATGGACTGCCAGAAGAACAAACAAATGTGTTGGAAGAAGTACAGCTAGAATGCTCCCTAGAAGTGAGGATGGCTAGACTTCATCTCTCAGACTTTGGACATGTTGTTAGGAGGGACCAACCCCTGGAGAAGGATATCATGCTTGGTAAAGTGAAGGGTCAGTGACAGCAACAATGGGTTCAAACATAGCAACAGTTGTGAGAATAGCACAGAACTGGGCAGTGTTTTTTTCTATTGTGCACAAGGTCACTATGGTTCAGAACCTACTTGATAGCACCTAATAACATTTTATTAATAATAACAAAAATTAAGAAAGGTGTGTGATAAGGTTGTATTCTTTCACCATACTTATTCAACCTGTATGCTGAGCAAATAATCTGAGAAGCTGGGTTCTATGAAGAAAAACGTGGC